ACCCGGTGGTACACGCCCTTAATCGCCACACTCGGAAGGCAGAGGCAAGGGGAGTCTCTGTGAGTTCAAGGCCAGCCTGGTCTGCAGAGTGAATTCCAGGACAGTCAGATACATACAGGGTCTCACAGATACATAGTGAGACCCTGTCTCCAAAACAAACAAAACCAAAAACAAGCCGGGCGGTGGTGGCACACACCTTTAATCCCAGCACTCGGGAGGCAGAGCCAGGCGGATCTCTGTGAGTTCGAGGCCAGCCTGGGCTACCAAGTGAGTCCCAGGAAAGGCGCAAAGCTACACAGAGAAACCCTGTCTCGAAAAACCGAAAAAAAAAAACAAAAAAAAACAAAAACAAGTGACTATGAGACCGTCACTCTGCTTTTCCCTTGATTAACTTTTACTTAAAAAAATATTCATATTTTTGTGTATGAGTGTTTTTTCTGTATGTAAGTTCACCATACATGTACAGGTGCCTCTGGGTACCAGAAAGAGGGTTTTGATTCCCTGGAGTTACACTTATACGTGGTTGTGAGCTACCATGTGGGTGCTGGGAACAGAACATAGGTCCTCTGCAAGAGAAGCAAGTTCTTTTTTTTTTTTTTTTTTAAAGATTTCTTTATTTATTATGTATACAGCATGTATGACTGCAGGCCAGAAGAGGGCACCAGATCTCATTACAGATGGTTGTGAGCCACCATGTGGTTGCTGGGAATTGAACTCAGGACCTCTGGAAAAGCAGTCAGTGCTCTTAACCTCTGAACCATCTCTCCAGCCCGAGAAGCAAGTGATTCACTACTGAGCCATCTCTCCAGCTCCTATTTATTATTATTATTATTATTATTATTATTATTATTATTACTGCTACTATATCATTTTGTTATTGAGACAGAGTCTCACTATGTAGCTCTGGGTGGTCTAGAACTCTCTACATAGATGGGGCTAGCCCCAAACTCACATAAACCTTCCTATTTCTATCTTTAGAGTGCTGGGATTAAAGGCACACACCACCAAGCCAGGAGGCAGAGGTAGGTGGATCTCTGAGTTTGAGGCCAGCCTGGTCCACAGAGTGAATTCCAGGTCAGCCAGAACTACACAGAGAAAACCTGTCTCAAACAACAACAAGAACAACAACAAAGTAATAAAAACAAGACCAAAAAGGCACACATCACCTTGTCTGTTTTGAAAAATTGTTTAATTATGTGTATATGCATGCATAGCTGACTGTGGGTGATGTATACGGGAATGCATTTACCTATAGAAGCCAGTGGCATCAGATTCCCCTGGATTCGGGCTCCGAGGTAGTTGTGAGTGGCTTGATATGTACTTGGAATTGAACACAAATCATCATTTGCAAAACCAGTATATGCTCCTAATTGCTGAGCCATCTGTCTAGCCCTGGACACACACACACACACACACACACACACACACTGATGTGTAAGTGGAGGTCAGAGGACAACCTTTGTACGTCAGTTCACTTCTCCCATGAGTGTCCTGGAGATCAAACTCAGGTTGTCAGGTTTGGCAGCAAGCACCTTTAACCACTGAGCCATCCTGTTGGCCTTCACGGGACTACGTGATATGATTTCTCAGAATCATGTTGGCTGGTCCTCCCCTGTGCCTTAGCATATCTCTCCTGGAGGGGTACAACTCCTAAATCGAGCCACCAAAATTAAACAGAGCTTTCCATGCAAACGCTAAAGGTAGTCTGGTGGAATACACTGATGATGTGATGTAGCACTGGCATTTAAATATTTGGATTTTCTTATTTTCCCTCACGCATGTTCCCTTTTCCCCCTTCTAACTGGCAGTAATTGTTAGTAAATTTCTAAAGGCTGGGGGAGTGGGCGGGAAGACTCCAAACTATACTAATGGTTTTCAAAACAGACTCAGGGTTTTCCTTGCCACAGAGAAGTCTGAAAATAGAGGCTGGCTTCTTTCCTAGCTCTGCTTTGAAAACAAGCAGCTGACGGGCGGTGAGTCACCCGTGGCCCCAGGGGACTGCCAACTCCCCCGGCATCAGGTGCCCGGGGGCTCTTGGTAAATGTCAGATGCTACTGTGTGCGGCTGGTGATGCTGTCATCGTCCACTCAGGCAGTGGAGTCGTGGAGCACCTCTCTGAAAAGGGAATCTCCGCGCTGCCCAGTGAAGGATGTCTGAAAGGGGAAATGGGCTGTCCGATGTGCTCACGGAGCTGAAGGTGGAGGAGAAGGTTGTGGTTCCTGTTGTAGCTCGTGAAAATAAGAGAAGCAGGAAGGGAGACAGCTCCCGGGAAGACCTCTGACAGACACTGAGGTGATGGGCCTTAAAGAGCCAATGACCAGGCAAACTCAATGGCTCTGTGAGGTGGGGAAAGGCAAGCCCCACAATCTCGGTTCGAACCCTGGGACCCCCCTGGTGGAAGGAGAGAACCAATTCCTGCAAGTTGTCCTCTGAAGCCCACATGTGTTGCCAGGGTACTCATAGCCCCCCTGCCCCCCCATAAATAGATGTAATAAGTGAACTTTAAAAAGGGAACTTCAACTGTTTCATGTATGTTCTTAAAATTCAACTTAGAAAAATATTAGTCGTTTAAAAGTAGGCATAAACTGGACATGGTTTTTACTAGGGCTGAATGTTAACCTCTTGATCCAAGTCATTAAAAAGACACAGTCCGTTGTGGGGGGCCAGGCCCCACTTTTTCCCCTAGGGTACTCGAGGAGGGAGAAGTGAGAAATACGTAGACAGAAGTATAGAGGGGAGAGACAGAAGCACAGGACAGCTCAGGAGGGCCTGGGTCAAAACCCACCAGCCCCTTCTGTCTCTTCTAAACGGCTTTTATAGGAACGCCAAGGGGTGGAGCAAAAGACCTCCCCCCAGCACAGCCAAGTGCAGACCATCCCAACCACCTGGTGACCATGCCCGTGGTCAAGCCGTCCCTAATGCAGCCCTGTTGTGGAAAGCAAACTCAGATTTCACTAGGAAGCGTTTGTGGGCTCCCACAGTCTGTGGGCTGGGCTGGCGCTGGCCTAACATGAGCAAAGCCCTGAGTTTGATCCCTAGCACGGTATAAACCGGTGTGGCAGCATATACATGTAATCACAGCTCTAGGGAGGCTGAGGTAGGAGGATTAGGAGTTCAAGGTCATCTTCAGCTATATAGGAAGTTTGAAGTCATTCTGGCTACGTGAGACCTTTTCAAAACAAAACACTGGGGACCTGGGGGTGTAAGCTCATGGGTAGAGCCTGGTGTGACCCCCAGGTACACACACACCCCTCTGTGGTACTTGTTCTCTCCCTTCTGCCTTTCCCCCCTCTCTATAATATATACTAACTTCATGTTAACCTATTTGATAAATACTTCCTTTTTCTAGTTCTGCCTCTAAAATGCTCACAAGAGTACGGACTTTTTGCTGGTTTTATTCACTACTGTGTTCACATGTTCTAAAACATGCCTAGCATATAGCTGATAATAAACATTTATCAGGAGCTGGAGAGAGATGGATCAGTGGTTTAAAGCACGGTGACTGCTCTTCCAAAGGATGGGGGTTCAATTCCCAGCACCTTCATGGAAGCTCACAACTGTCTGTAACTCCAGTTCCAGGGAATCTGACACCCTCACACAGACATGCATGCAGGCAAAACACCAATCACTGCTCTAAATAAATAAATAAATAAACTCTCAAATAAATCAGATTGGTGGAGACCAAAAAAAAAAATAAATAAATAAACTTGTGTCTTGTATTGGTGGGAAAGGACATATGTATGCCAGAGTCTATTTTGGAATTGTTCACTGGAGTCCAATTAAAGAGGCATCTATCTTATGCAACCACCAAAAATTTATTCACTTGATTTAGATGCCCCCAAGTACATGTTCAAGGGTGCGCACTGTGGCCCTGCATCTTAGTACAAAATGCTGGCGTTGGTCTACATGTGCACCCGAGTCTGTTTAAATAACACACTGGCATGCATAGATTGCATCACATGTCCGGGTTAGGAAGACAGAAAGGTACACACACTGATGCAGTAGTCTGTATGACGCTGAGTGAAACAAGCCAGCCACAAAAATGTGCGCACAGGAAGGGCTGGAAGGAGGGAAGGGAGGGGAGCGGTAATTATCATTTCAGAAAATAAAACAAAAAAATATTTTAAATGGGTGTGGTAAGTTTCTGTTTGGACCTGAAAAAGCCGGGTCAGCAGGGCGTAGTGCCACACGCCTTTAATCCAATCGCTCTGAGGCAGAGGCAGGCCGGTCTCTGTGAGTTCAAGGCCTGCCTGGACTACAAAGCGAGTTCCAGGACAGCTCCATTGAGAAACCCTGTCTGGAAAAACCAAAACCCAAAACAAACAACAAACAAAACAAAACACCCCCCCCCAAAAAAAAAGAGGAGGGTTTTGGGGGCTGGAGAGGATGGCTTAGTGGTTAAGTGCATTGAGGCTCTTGCAGACGACCTGGATTCTGTTCCCAGCACCTACTTGGTAGCTCACAATAAAACCAGCATCTCCTTGGTAACTCACATCTCTATCATAAATAATCACATCAACAGTTCTTGAACTCACAAGCGATTGCTTTTTTTTTAATCCTGTTTAGGGGTTGAAAGCTTGAAAAAAAAAAAAAACTTTTCAAAGCTTGTACTGTGGGAGACCTTTCACTTCCTCCGCAGTGAAGCCCATTAAAAGGACGGTTGGGTTCGGCCTCGTGCTGCAGACCCCGCGGGGGCCGGTCACCCCCCCCCCACCCCTCCACCCACCCTCCCGGGGTTCTGCTGTACGGTGCGGCTGGAAGAACGCGCTCGCTCCTTAGAGGGCAGCAGCGGGGCGTCGCGGGGACGCATGCGCTCGGGCGACACCCGGGGAATTAAAACAGGAGAAGAGGGAAAAAGCTCCGGCCAGAAACGCGCCGCTTCGCGTCCTCCCCCCCTCCCCCCCGCGGCCGCGGCGTGATGCGCACGGCCCGGCCCGTGACGCCGCGGCCACCCACGTCCCCGCGCCCCAGCTGCCATCGCGTGCCGGGCTCTGGGACCCCGGCGCCGGGCCTCGCTCCCCATGGGGCTGCGCCGCTGGCTCCGGAGCGCCTGCTGCTGCTGCCCGTGCCGGTGCCTGGAGGAGCCCGCGCGGCCCGAGAAGGAGCCGCTGGTCAGGTGCGTACGGTACCCGGGGGGTGGGGTGGGGTGTCCCCTGAACCGGGGACACAGGGGTGGGGTGGGGTGAGGGGGTCCTGTGAGGTCACACCGCGGCGTCATCCGAGCCCCTCGGGCCCCATCCCAGCGCGTCTCCGGTAAAGACGTTTTTTGTTTTTTTTAAGCTTCAGATCTGATTTTTGTGTGGCTCGGAGAGCGCAGGTCCCCAGAGGCTGATGATGCCCCCGGGGAGATGCCACTGATGATGAGTGCAGGGACAGGGGCTGGGCAGAGAGGTTTCCAGAGAGAGAGGTTGAGGGGGTCCCATCGGATGAAACGGACGCGGGTGGGTTTCCGTGTCACTCAGCAAGAAAGTTTGGCTACCCATGTCAGGACGGAAAGAAGTCGAGCTCAGCGACTGGACCTAAGGAGATCTTTCTCATGATAAACACAGCGCGTGTTGTACCGGGGGCAGTCGAATGGGCTGTTTTGTTGTAGTGGAAGCTGTGAAATGTGAGGACATTTAATGCTCGTTAGCTATGTGCTAAAAGAAGGTTTGTGAAGGAACCCTAGGCACAGATTTGCTTGATTTTTTTTTTTTTTTTAAGCGATACTTTAATATAGGAGGAAGCACAAGGGGTTGGAGGAAAAGGCACCCAGGAGTAAGACATATCCACATGTGGGTGCGGGCAGAGAGGACACGGATTTTTATTTTTCCTTAAAATGATTTTTCTATCGTGAGTTTGCTGAAATCAAAGTTCCGCCAAGTCGTGCCTCAGGGAGCAGAAAATTTAGAATGAAATTAGGGCACAGGATGTAGGGTGGAATTCCAGGCTCGGTGAACAAGCTCTGAAGCCAGGGCAGCTTTAAGGAATACGCATCGAATACAATAATGCTTGTACAACTCTTTCCGAAGCACGACTTAACCGTTCCTTATCCTGTCAAGTCCAGACACTTCTCTTGACTTTGGAGGGTTACATAACCTGTCTGCTCGTATTTTCCAGAGCGTTAAGAGCCGCTGTAGGAACAATCCACTCTTAGTCCCTTCATGCTGGAGCCCAATAGTGACCTTTTGCCTTCTCCCCCTTTCCAAATGCTGGTTTTCAAGTAGTCTCATTTGATCACGTGGCTCTTTTTCATCTTCCTCCTGCGATTTAGGAATTTATCATCTTGTTGTTTGGTGAGCACACGGATATTCTGTGGAACATATATAGACACACAAGCCACTATACACACACACACACATATATATATATATATATATATATATATATATATATATATATACACAACACACACACACACACACACAAACATACACACACTCACTATGTAGACCTGTAGACATGGCTGACCTGTAACTGGCAGAGATCCACTTGCCTCCTGAGTGCTGTGATTAAAGGCATGTTCCACCTCTCCGGGCTACCATACGTACGTATGTTTGGTTGTTTTTGCTAATAGCCCTCTCACTTAGATTTTGAGATTACTCTGCGCCGGGAGGAACTGAATTACCTATCTTTAATTTAAAAGGCAATAGGTAACAGTGTAGGATTTTTATCTCAGGACTCCAGGCTCTCGGTTATTATGAAATATAGCCTTCAGTTTAGGTTCATCTACAGCTTTGGGTATTTCTAGTGTTTTTTTTTTTCTAGGATAGCTAGACTTCTGGTAACGTTTATTTTGAAATGGAGACCCTCTCCTGTCTTGCTTTATGTCCAGTGGATGAAAGTCCATGAATTTTGTGATGATGATGATGATGATTATTATTTTAGAAGATAAGATTAGCCAGGAAGGGTAGAGCAGGCCTGCAGAGGCAGGAGAGTCAGGTAGGTGTTCAAAGCAGCCTTGGCTACAGAAGTTTATACACAAGGACCTACCTAAAAAGAAATGTTTAAAAATTAGGGCGATCTAGTCATGTGGAGCAGCATGGCAACGTGTTGATGAATCCAGCTACCTGGGCTGAGTCACATGAGTGGGTGACTGGCCGTGAGTTATGGAGATGATTTGTGCCCACAGTTTCCTCGTGTCTTTGTTGAGGGTGATGAGGATAGTACACACTTCAAAGGATTGCAGGGGAAAAGGAAAGGAGGTCATCCATGCCCAGTGCTTAATAGAGCACCCGACAACATAGTAACTACTCCATAAATTTTAATTATTGTTAATTTTCATTGTTATTCTTCTGAGCATGTGAGTGTGAGTGGCCTTGTCTCATCTGGTCACGGGTTACTCTGACACCATTTTGATATAACCATCTCAGAAGGGCGGTGGCTTATTAATGGGCCGGTGAGGTGGTGGTGGTGATACACATGTGTCTGCAGGTCCTTGAATGTTCTTTTCCACCCTAGTCATGTGAAGATCTGGTTCGGAGTTCATTGTTTTACTTTATTATTGCATATTTGTGTGGTGTGTGTGATGTGCGTGCACATGTGTATGCATGGTGTGTGTGCATGGGTGTGCGTATGTGCAGGTATATGTGCATGTAGAGGCCTGGGATTGACGTCGGGTGTCTTCTTGGTTGCTTTTCACCCTGTATACTGAGGCCAAGTCTCTCACCTGAATTCAGACCTGGCGAGCTAGCCATTTGCCAGGGAGCCCTGGTCTCTGCCTCCTGAGCTGGAATTACAGGCAGATGGCCGTGCCCACTGGGCATGTATGTGGGTTCTGGGGATCCAAACTCTAGTCCTCACATGTTCTCACACTGGCATGACAAGTACTTCACCTAGTGAACCGTCTCTCCAGCCCCTCATTTATTTATTTATTTATTTATTTTTGGTTTTTTCGAGACAGGGTTTCTCTGTGTAGCTTTGGAGCCTGTCCTGGATCTCGCCCTGTAGACCAGGCTGGCCTCGAACTCACAGAGATCTGCCTGCCTCTGCCTCCCGAGTGCTGGGATTAAAGGTGTGCGCCACCATGGCCCAGCCTCTATTATATTTTATTAGTGTGTGTGTGTGTGTGTGTGTGTGTGTGTGTGTCTGTCTGCCTGTCTGTCTGTCTGTCTGTGTCTGTGTATGTATGCTGGCATGCCTGAGCTATGGCTTGTGTGTGGAGGTCAGAGGACAACCTGTGGCAGCCAGTTTTCTTCTGTTTCCCGTGAGTCCTGGAGGCTGAACTCGGGTCAGCAGGCTTGGCAGGAAGCATAGTCACCCGCTGAGCCATCTCCTCGGCCAGCTGTTGTACTGTTTAGTTCCAGTGTATTTTTAACTCCTCAAAAGAAAAAAAAAAACAAACAAACAGAAAAACCCACGCCAGGACTGTTGCACAAAGAAAGCCCGTCTTGAAAAAGAAAAACAACAACAAAACAAAAACAAAAACAAACAAACAAAGCCAGCATGCTTTCTAGCAGTCACTCTTCCTATTTTTCTCAGTGGTTACTAAACCAGTCATTTGTCATTACAGATTTGCCCGTTTTGGAGATTTTGTGTGAGTGGGATCATAATTGGCCTTTTGCGTGTGGCTTTCTGCGCTTAGCGTGATTTTTTTCACAGATTATTGTGTTGGAGTGTATATTAACACTTCATTCCTTTTTTATGGCTGAATATTATTTCTTTGTGTGGACTGATCTTATTATTATAATTTTTTATCTCTTCACCCGTTGATGGACAGTTGGGTGATTTCTCCTTTTGCCTTTTGTGAATAATGTGGGAACGTTTGTGGGCAGGCTTCTGTGTAGACGTGGTTTCAGCGCCCTTGGGTAAAGCTGTCAGAGTGGAATTGCTGGGTCACGTGGCAAGTGTGTGTCCGACTTCTGAGGACCTGCTGTTCGGTTTCTGAAGAGCCTGGCTTGAAGCACCGATGAGGTGAAGTCATGTGGCCAGATGGCTCCCATTATTATTGAGGACTTCAGTTTTTCACGCCATCTTTTCATCTTTCCCCTTCTAACAAACTGGCTTTTTACAGCCCGCTTTGTTCCCTTAAACCATCCTTTCCCAGCTCTGAGAACCTCTCCGTGTTTTATTTTAGTCCCAGCACCGTAGTGCCTGGGAAGAGGTACCCTCCGGGGAGGCTACACAGCCACCTGTGTGTGTGGCCTCCTCCAGTCCTTTCTCAAAGCTGCTCCAGGGACTCCTGTTATTCCAGGAGGCGCTATCATAAGTCTCAGCTGCCTTGCCAGTTTGTGACCTTGATCCTTCGGCTTTTCTGGAGACTATGTCTCTGAGGAGGGAGGCTTCTCCTCCTTTCTTTTTTTTTTTCTTTTCTTTTTTTTTTTTTTTGGTTTATCGAGACAGGGTTTCTCTGTGTAGCTTTGCGCCTTTCCTGGATCTTGCTCTGTAGACCAGGCGGGCCTCGAACTCACAAAGATCCGCCTGCCTGTGCCTCCCAAGTGCTGGGATTAAAGGTGTGCGCCACCACCGCCCGGCTTCTCCTCCTTTATGTCCCTCTGTGTCTTCTCTCCCCAACTTGTCCCCTTCCTTTCCCTCTAGAAACATCCCGAGATCTCCCCTGACTAGCCATTCACCTTGACGATACCATGACCTTCAACTGCTGTTCCCTGACATCCTCTGTATCCCACACAAATGTCTTTGAAGAGCAGTTGCCTGGACCCCCACTGCCTTCTTTCTCGACTACTGTTGCTGAGACTGATACCCAAGTCTGGGTCAGGCCTGGGATTATGCATTGTAGGGACTGTGCTAGGTGGTTTGGCTGTGGATGGTCTGTGGACAGAGTTTGTAACACACAGATGCTCAGCGATGGGGAGATGGTCAGCAGGTTAACGTTTTCATGCTGGCATGAGGGCTGGGATTTGGATCTCCAGAGTCCATGTAAAAAGCTGGGTTGGGTGGTCGTGTCAACCTGTACGTAATCCCAGTGCTTGGAGGGTGGGACAGGAGATTCCCAGAGCGAGCTGGCTAGCAAGACTACTTGAAACTGAGACCAGTGAACAAAAGACCTGCCTCAGTGTAAAAGGTGGAGATCAGGAAGAATCTTGTCATCAACCTTGGGCCTCCACGTGTGTGCATATGCACACATGCGCACACACCATGCATGCATACATACATACATACACACACATGCAAAAGAAC